TTATATGCGCCTTGTTAAACGAAATCTCAATCGTACTGCGCTCAATTGCGTATATAAATTTTTTGCCCAATCTGTAGTGAACTACGGAAGTGAGGTTTACTCGTTAACTACACAGAGAAATATTTTGAGACTCGAGAGTTGTCAGTATCAACTATGTCTGACTGTGAGTGAGGCTATGAAAGGTACCGCGAAGACAAAATTGCTCAAGGATCAAGGCTGGTTACCATTTTCTAATTTGTTCTTTGTCAATAGAATGTGCATGTTTTTTAAGTATTACTTTGGATTAATTAGGACACCCACTCAATACTTTAAGTTTACTGAACCAAAGAACACGAAATATTTCGTTAAGAAACAAGAGCAGCCAGCAACTGTATGATTATAGAGACAAGAGTGTTTTCTTCCAGAATTCTTTCTTTCCAACTGCTATTAAAGAATGGACCGAACTACTTTCACAAAGACCTGACTTTCAAAATAAATCCAAACCTTATAAATTCCGCATAGAAGTTAAAAACCACTTGTCACCGCCTGCAAACAAATTACCCTGTTTGCTGAATCGGAGAATTGATGCGCTATTTTGTCGACTGAGAGTCGATTTCTCTGCATTAAACTATCATCTAAACCAGCATAAACTTGTCTCCGAAAGTCTTTGCGAAAACTGCTTAGTTTTATCGCCCTCCGTTGAAGTAGTTGAGGACACGAAACACTTTTTCTTTAAATGCCCTCATTATAATCATGTACGAAATATTATTCTCAAAATTATGACATAAAATTATGTAATTTAATATGATGCTTTAGTATGATTTCTTTGTTTTTATCTAGATTCGTTTTTATGATGATTTATTACACGTGTTTCGGCTTTATGCCTTCAGCAGAGGAGGAAATCATCTAAAAAAGAACATTTAAAAATAACATACAAGAGATATTAAGAAATCAAAAAAAGCAAAAATAAAAACTTGCACTTGGCAGTGCCTATACAGTTGGTATAAACTTTATTTGAAAAAGAAAATCTTAATACAGATCGAAATCGTGATCCAATGGATCACATTGCATCAATTTGCAAAAGAGTCTTAATGAGCGGATGAGTAGAAAAGTTAACAAAGAGACATACAAAAGTGAAAGAAGAATTGAAGAGAGGAAGAAAAAGATTGATCGTCAGTTGCAGAGGAATATGATTAAGGAAGAGAATATGATAAGAGACGTTGAAGAGTAGAGTAGTGGTGGTGATCAGATGACCCTGCGGACAAAGAGAGAGAGAGACGGCTTCTAATTAATTCGTACAGACATGAGATAGGAATGCATCAGCTTCGGAATCAAAATACAGCAAATCAGGTAAGACACATTAAAAGCGTTTAGTATCCGAGATAAAATCACATATACAGTCATAAACAAAGAGAAATGTCTTATTATTTGAAATACCATTCAAGAGAATAGTATCCAAGTCTAGTTTGATGCCCGCATTATGGAATTTTGAGAATAAAATATTTCGTGCATGATTATAATGAGGGCATTTAAGGAAAAAGTGTTTCGTGTCCTCAACTACTTCAAGGAGGGTGATAAAACTAAGCAGTTTTCGCAAAGACTTTCGGAGACAAGTTTATGCTGGTTTAGATGATGGTTTAATGGAAAAGGTGCTCGACTACTACGATGAAGTTAACGAACACGGAAAGTGAAAACGCAGATGGGAAACACATTTTTTTTTCATACAATGTGGTCTGGAAATTGTATCATTCATTTGTACATAAAAGGTAGTGAAAGCTTAGTTCTCCACAGATTGAAACTTCGATATCTTATGATCCATAATAGCTAAAGATTTGACACTTGGGGAGATTACAGACCATGATTACGGGTTTTTAAGAAAAAGATTTCACCACTTAATTCATTAAAATAACAGAGAAAAGACATTTCAAAAGCGAAGAAATCGTTTTTTTGGACAAAAAGTCGATCATATCTCAGAAATGGAGAGCCATGGGCACGAACAGTTTTAGAGTTTTCTTAGTCTCATCAAGGTCTACTTGTGGCCAGAAGAGGGAGTCAAAAGTGCTGGATCAGTTGGGGTAGTTCCGAAGCAGTAACATAGATAATAGCGTATACCACTTTATTACTTTATTATACGTAAAGATTGTTACTTATTACTTGAAACAGTAATCATAATGGGCCACCACTATATAAGAAGCAGTTCTACATTTTCAAACTTTCAACATTTTCAACTTCAGTTCAATCTTTGTTTGGGCTATCACATTTTAACTTAAAAAGAATCGGTCATTAGACAGTCTGTATTTGTAATCAACAGCATTACGTTTTCTGTGAGGATTGTTGATGAATAATAAGTAGTTTTGCTTTCTTCAGATATATTTGTTGGAAAGGAGAAAGAACCGTTGTTCGTTTATCAGTGTGCAATAAAAAATTACAGATTATTCCACCATTCATTGCATTACTTCAAACAATAAGTCTAATCACGTTTACTTAATTTATGATACATATAAGTGAATATTCCTGTTTGGATTTAGAATCTGTTCTCAAACCAATGCCATATTCGAAATCAGCACCAAAAACCGAGTCGAATCATGTTTGTCTTGAAATTTTTGAATAAGTTTCTTTTTTGAGTGAAAATTACGATAATTTTTTAACGGAAAAATTTGAAAAAAATCAAAGTTGTCGGACAGAATCGGGAGAGAGTTTATTCGACTCAGTTTTTAATGCTGATTTCGAGTATTACATTGGTTTGATTCAACCTTGGACTCGAAGCGAAGGACTCGATAAACTGACTCGAGTCACTTGTTTTTTTATTATCATGACGGTGTTTATTATATTTGCTATGTAGCAGAAAAGAGAGGCAGATTTGAGAATATTCTAAGTAGAACATCGCGTCACATGAAAAGATTGAAGCCCTAGAAAAGGGCAAGGTAAACAAGAGACAAAACAGAGATGCAAGCTTTTCTTGTAAAAATGAATCAGACAGAGATTTACCTCTAGAAAATGACTCGAGGTGGTCGAGTCACTTTTTGATGCGTCTTGAACTCGGACCTGGACTCGAAGCCTCCTGACTCGGACTCGACTCAGACTCGAATAAGTGGTGGCTCGCTCATCTGTGAGTTTGAGAAAAAAATGAAATTTGATGGTGAAAAGTGCAAAATACTTGTTTTTTCTTATTTTTCTTGGTTAGTTTAAAAGAGCTTTCTTCATCAATGAAGAAACGTAAAATAAAGCATAAAATCATATTTCAGGATGTCATTGGTTTTAAGGTTGATAAATCCTCAATGACTGACAAGCTCATTACTGGCTTGTATGCATGCATGGTCCTCGTAAGTTACGCCATGAAAACCACCGATAACTTGACACATTTTCTCCATACCAGTTTTCTCGTTTACAAGTTTTACCAGCACATTAATAGCATTCAGTTGGATATCTTGATAATCAACTCGCGATTTAGTGCAAACATCATAAAATAATCTTAACATCCAGCCACTAATATATGTACAAGTACCACTCCCACTCGTCGATTTTATGTCTAAAATGAATTATGTTTAATAAACTGTCATTTACATAGATTGTAGATTTACCCATTATTTTATTCCACTATTTTAAATCAACATTATTCTCGTATGTCTGGATGAATCTATCCAGCACGGGTAGTAAGCCATTAATGTATTCATGAAACTGTGTCTTTGAGAACGACTTCAGTTGCTCCGCTTTTCCTCTCAGTAGTTTCCAATCATCGATTGTACCCATAAATTTCACATTTCGAATATCGCACAAGCTCATAAATCTTGTAAATCCAAAATATGATTGAAATGCGTCCATGACACATGCATTCGACCGAATGGCTTCGACTTTTCCTGTTGTCGAATAGGTTGGACGTCAACATCGAAACAATATCATCTTTAACATTTTTCTCAATTTCTTGCTTCATCAACAAAAATTCGGTCCAGTCGCTCTCATCTTTCTCTGGTGGTTGAAACACAATTAACTCTTTCTTCTCCTGGCGATCGACGAATAAATGTCGAAGCTGTTCGGCGTTTTTATTCACAGTGTGTGCGTAATCGATGCAAATGACCATCTGAAAGAGTATATAATAACGCCGGCTACGTTCACTTAGATTAGGTGTAATATCTTACCCATATATCATCCGGTGATAAAACCAAATCTTCGTGGATATTATTATATGCATTTACAAACGCTTGCAATACTGAATTTGATGAAACAGATGTATAGAGACCGTTGCTGATTGCATATTGAACATTCAAATTTATATTGTAGACATTATCACGTTTCAAAATATCTCTTGGAAGTTTTATTTCCTGCGTCACATCTGTTCACCCACATTTTTTCGATGCTGTCATTTGATAGAGGTTCTGTGCTCTCATGACGATATCGATCTTTTAACGGCTGATGGTTGTTGATCTGGATCACTCGATATATTCTCGATTTCGCTACAGATGTTTGTTGGCTGCAAAATTAAAATTGAATATGGCAAGTGTCGCTGCTCAATAAGTAGAACTTCTGAATTAGCAAATAATCGTAATTTAATAGGAATTAACTTCGTTCGAATAAAAATGCATAATACATTATTTTCGGAGTTATATCCACGAGAAAGGATGCCAACAAATTGCGTGCACTGTGCTAGTCTCCAACATCAAGTTCAGATGAGATAAAGTTCTGTAAACGGTTAAACTTAACTTAACCCACATTGAAGACTATACTAAAACATATAAAAATATTCATTATCATCAAATATTCTCTGTCGAACGTGTGTCAGCAAGGAAAGATAGTGTGTCATGTAGAACTCGACGAGATCTATCCAAATATATTTTGATCTCATTTATTCAATTTATATTAGTTGAGAAAAATACACTTTATTCCTTTTGCCACTCCGATATAAGTAAAAATTCAGTATTTTCATCAAATATTCTCTGTCGAATGTGTGTCAGCAAGGAAAGGTAGTGTGTCATATAGAACTGGACTTGATCTATTCAAATTTATCTTGATCTCATTTATTCAATTCATATTAGTTGAGAAAAATACATCAAACCCCATATTAAATCTTCTACTCGAAAACCTACTTCATTATGATCCAACTCGCGATAGTTGTCACCCAAATTGTTTACTCCATCTAAAAATTGTTGTATATCATCAATCGTAGCCCAACGATTATCCGCATCGCCAGACTTTTTTTCTAAACTTCTTTCTAATTTGTCTAAACATTGTGGAATGTGGATATGCGTAGTTAAAAACGGAAAATGATTATGAACAAGACAACTAGTTGTGATTGTATATAGAAGGAGAATTGCTTCCGCTTTTTTTCTTGTCAGAAACATATAATTATTAGTATATACGAATGAGTACCGAATTGGTGACAGATAATTGATGAGAGCATTCAAACAACTATTATAGTTCACCTATAAAATATTTTCAACACGATCTACTTATGAACTAATTATCTTAGATGTATTAATGACCATATGAAAATTACACTCAATTTTTATAATTCATCTTTCACGCCACAAGCCACACATTTTTTGTGATTATTTGTACTTTATCTTTAGGTTGAATCAATAATAATTTACTCGACAAACTATATAGCTATATTTTATCGTAGAAACATAGACTTTATATATTATATTACTGAGTAATTTGCGCTTTGTTTCGTTTTTCTATCAAATTAAATTGTTGAACAATCAAATATCATTGGTTATCTGGCTGGTGTGCTAAATAATAATTAACTTAATTAATTAGAAGCCCTTTATCATTTTGTTATTATCGCAAGCAACATCTTGAATATCAAATATATCGAATGTTTATCATTAAAGAACTCCGTACACTGTTTGTGAGTGTTATATTGGTATTGTATGGTTTGATAAATGTGAGTAGTCAAAAGGACTCCATTTTTAACCACATAAGGAATGAAGAACGGTTAATAGTACATGAAAGTTATGGTGTGGTTTTTATGAGAAGTGGACGATATTATGAAGCAGACGATACTTTTGCACTATCCTCGTCGGTTCCCATAACTGGAAACATGTGTTCATTCTTATCTATGATAGTTTCAGACAAACTTCTCATATGCCAAGATTATCAGAAACGAGTTTCGGAACAAATTCGAAGTGGCCAACATGATGGGAATTTGTGCATCTTTTTCGAGCTACAACTTTACTAAATAAAGCTAATGGAGTTTCGTCTGATGAACTCACAGTCCATCGCCAGAAACGTTTTGTACCTATTGTATTAGGTGTGGTTGGAGCACTTGGGACTATTTTTGCTGGTGGCATAACCCAGGCAAACTATTTTTGTATGCTAACGCACGTTAAAACGCGTTAGTTGACACAAGTGACGCGTCTGGACGCGGTTTGTCTATAGTGCGTTAGTTCAATATAAACGCGTTAAAACGCGGTGATATTCAACGTAGAACAACGCGTTTGATGGACTTTACGCTTGCAAACGCGATAAATTGCGACATATTTAGCTGCGTCAGGAAATAACGCGTTTTGCCGTACAATTTATGCTAATAAATGCGTTCGTACGCGTTAGAGTTTAATGCGTTCAGACGTAATTATTTAGTAACATATTTAAACGCGACATAATTATGAAGGAACGCGTTCAGTAAAAACGCGTTTTGACGTATCGTCAAACGACGCATTTCGCAGCATTATTTCTTTTTGTGTAACGCTTTTGAACGCGTTCGATTCTAACGCTCAGAAATGCGTTAGCAAAATGTCGCAGTAAAACGCAGTATTGTTACTAAGAAACGCGTCAGAACGCATGAATTCTGGACGCGCTTGCGAGCATATAATATATATTGCTTTTAGACGAACTATTATCTGGAAAATAACCGCATTCGGATGTGTTTAAAGACTTTTGCCATGAAAAACTTCAGTCAAGAAAACTTCTAGCAAATACTAGTAACAGAAGTTAGACTGTATGCACAGTACTGAATGAAAACGAAGTCCAAAAAGTTTGTATTGGTGATGTTCACCAAGGACTTCTGTAGAATGAGAGAGGAGGAGAACCAAGACAATTTAACTGTTCGTTGAGTCATTTGATTTTATTCAATCGATTATTTTTCATTTGATTGTAAAAATATCACAATTCATACAGAATAGTTAAAAGTCAATTTTGAAATAAATTTAAAAAACTATACAGTCGATGAACTGACAGAGCAGGTTTAAAGTGCAAAAGATTTCTAAATACTTGCTCGATCTTCTGTAAAGAGAACAAGAGCTTGATGCCATTTCTAACTAGGAACTTTCATAAAGGTTAGGATATTGGAATGAAGTAAAATATAATGGTCTCTGTTCAGTTAAATACACTAGTTTTTCTATAATATTTTCAGTACGTAAATAATGAAATTTGTTGAGCTTGTATCGAACTTGAATATTTTCACATGTAATAATCTTCCCGTTCACATTCGCAT